CCCCCCCCACCACCACCGTGACACGGACCTCTAGCAATCAGAGGTGGAGCCATGGCTAGCAGAGAGTCCAATGACCAGCACACGGTCTGAAAAAACAAAACACTTTAATTAGACAACTGCAAGCACCTCAAACAACGGGTTATTGTTACAGCATGGGGCTATCCTCTCACAATCTCGTTATTGCAAAGGCATGTGAATCGTTCCATATGGACAAAGTCGAGAAGTGGCACCGTAGTTACACGAAGATCAGAAGTGAGCTTACATTCGTCCCACTGACTGCAAAGAGAGGCCCAAACACACCTCCGCACTGTACATTCTAAATCTGTATTGCCTATAAGCTTCAGCCTGTGCGGCTGGTTTTTGTTCCTAGGAAACACGTAACTGTAGCGTGCAGCTTACAACGGGCAGTCGTAAGTCTCGTCACGGGAAAAAACAAAGCTAGTGCAATTGGTTCAGAAACGTATGAAGCTATGAATGGCATGAGCATGATCTCGCTTTCGGGATTACTTTACCCACTGCACTGTAAATAGTTGCAGCTCTGTCCTTCCTCAACTGATCCCAAGCACACACTTTTATTGTAAAAGATCAGCAGTTCTACACAGAGAGTGGTTCTCATGCTCGACTTTTAATTTTGTTTTTCCTAAAGGTATAGTACAACTTACAGTGCTTATAAAAAGGCAACACCATATGGTACCATGTCTTCACTATCACATTGTAAGGGAAATTGCTATTTTTCTTTTCTTAAAAGCACTTAAAATAGGCAAAAGTTCTAAAAGGGAGTGCTAAATGAGAATGCATACTTTATTAGAAAGAAGTCTACCCTTCCTTTAAAGTGCCGTTTGGGGAATGAAATCCTGTAAACCAGAGCCACTTTGATTAAAATCCAATGAACGGGAACTGCTACAGAATAGAAAGTTTACATGAGTCCTTAAAGCAGTTTAAAGTCCACTACATGCAACTGGTTTGCTATAAAGCTCTCTAAAACTTAATTGCTTTACTCTGAAATTGAGTCCCCAGTCCCATATTTAAATGGAAATAAACATTTACAGGGTGCATTTACATACACTATAATACAAGAATGACGTCCCTTTGCCAGAAGATAAAATTGTACAGTTCCTCGCTGTAACTCAGGTCTGACTTGAGAAATTTCTTACCCTCGTAAATTATATAATATGCATCAGCTAAAATATTTTTTTTTTTCATAAATAGTTACAAAACTTGCCAAAACACATGGGGGGAAGTTTCCTTTGTCCAAAAATCTGACATCTGAATGCCACACAACACAAGAAACAATGCTTAAAGACACGTTAAGTGTTTTCTGAAGAAAGTGGGTGAGTAAACTACCAGCTGAAGACAAAAAGACTACCCCTTCCCCAAGAACACAGTGCACGAAAAGCAAAATGTCAAACAGTACCTCAAGCAAAACAAAGGTCTGAGGATTGAAGCCAGCTCACGTGTGATCCTGCTAAAGAATTTGTGACAGTCACCATTTAGGTCCGATGCATTGGAAAGCGGTTGCTGGCTTTTTGTAACAGCTGGGAGGCTCTGCTAAGAATTCAGCCACGGATGCCTAAGGCATTCTCCAGCTGACGCACGCTTCTCTGGGACCATTTCTAGCATGGGGATCAGGAAATCTGTGAACTGTGCCGCGTCTTCGTGAGGCCAGCCGTACTTCTCCACGAGGACATCGAAGAGGCTCCAAGGTTTCAGCTTGGTGATGTGTCGGAGCTCTCCTGCAAACAGAAATATTCCTGGCATTAGGAAAATACCTCCTTATCCCCCACAGCGACTCATCCCCCTTGCGATTTTCTCCCGCTCTGCATTCACAGCACCGTGACCAGGCTGAGAACGGTTATTTAGGAAGGGCAGCACATTGCACATTGCTGGAGGTCCTCAAAGGAGACGAGTACGTCCGATGCCAGAACCAAGAGATCGTTCCTATGGCAACCTGTACGTTACACCTCGACTCCACCACACACATCATTTCTGGTATTTCCTGCTGTCTTTGTTCTGCCTCCTGCACACAAAGCACTCACTCACACCCACGGGCAGTGAACGCTGCAGGCCTCTCCTTCTTGGTCAGCCAACACACACAAATCCTATAAAAACCACTCCACTCCCAAGACACAGATCGCAGCAACACGGGTCCCTGCCTCACCACACGGCATCTGCCAACAACGCAGCAGAGCAGCGATTCGCTCCACGCCAAGCCCAGCCCAGGGGTTGGGCACTCGGAGATTCTCCTCCATCTCCCAGGCAGATGCTCCTAAGAGGCTCAGTGAGTCCCTCCCGAGAAGGCAGCACCTGCTGCGGCCTCCATCTCCTCCAACCCCCCCCAACACGAGCGCTGGCAGCAGCTGCAGGATTTGGGTTTCATCAGAGGGGGCACACGGCCAGTCCAGTGACGTGCTTCGGGCCAAAACAAAGAAGGCGCAGACCCTTCCGCCATTCAGACCCACATCACCCAGGTCTATCCACAGCTCACTGGTGCGAAGGACAAGACGGGCTCTTCTGTCCGCTCCTTGCCCCTCCACTGCCATCTCCCATCCTCCCAGGCACAGAGCCGAGCCAGACACTGCAAAAAGCTCTCCAGAGACCCCTGTGGTGATTCTGCGGTGTCCCCTCAACTGCTGAGGTTCTCACCCAGCACTGGGAGCTGGCCGTGACGCTCCCACAGCTTCACGAGCGCACTGCCCCACTGCCGAGGGGCACACAGGATGTGCTGTTTTTACCACAGCTTGGTTTGCCTGCTGGCCCGGGCTGTAACCTACCGCCCGCAAAATGCCGTCAGACATCAGCTCACAGGTCTGATTTCTGTACGCCCCTGTGGCCCCACAAGCCCCAGAGCAGGTGAAGAAACTCGCGTCTTTGGACTGCCCCGACAGTCTGAGCACCTGAATAACACAGCCTAAAACCGCCCCATGCCCAGCAGGACAAAGGCTCCTGCTGCCTCAGGCCGCAGAGGAAGGTTCTGGGCAGGGTGCAACACCTGACAAAGCAGCTCTGCAGGTGCTGTCAGGACGACCCCAAAAGAGCAAGTGTGCAAATGATCGCTTGCAAGAGAATGAGAAGGGACCTGCGGTAACAGAAAGTCCAGATGTGCTGCCCACAGCTGGCCCCCAGTCCTCCTTCCATCTCGCGGGGCAGGAGGGGCGCTGAGGGAGAGGAGCGAAAGCAGGGGCTGCACCCTGCCAGTCACGTCTGTACATTTACAGCGCGTGTCCCACCCGCAGCCACAGCTCCAGCAAAGGCTGTGGCTGGCCCCGTGCTATCCCATGGCACCGACCTACAGAAGGGACAGCGGTGCTCACACAAGAGTTTTCACGGCCAGGCTCACCCTCAGCCCTTTAGGATTTCTGAACAACCTTGAAAATTAAGTGCTGAAAATCTTACCCTTCCAAAGGTTTCCAAAAGTGTGCATTGGTGACTACTACCAAGAACAGGCAGTGAACTATCTAATAAGAACACAAATTCAAACATTGCCAAAAAGTGATAGAAAATACTGACTTGTCATTGACTACAAGCAAAAAACGGCTAAAAGGAACCATCAGGCCGTGTCCACAGCTTCCCCAGCTCACGACATCCATTGCAAAGGCTGCCGTCGTCATTTACCAAACCAGCCTAACTTTGGGGCAGTGTCTGTCTCCATGCAGCACTGTCTTCCCCCTGTATTCAAATCACATAATTTTAGGCATCTTTCCTCCCTCAGGCTGTATCAGTAAGACTGCAAGAAGAGGCTCCTGGTGTCACTGTGAAGGCAGGTTCATGCTGTTTGAATGCTCCTTATTTTGTAAAGTGGAGCCTGATCTTGAAATGGCCGAGCTAAGACCAGCACGACATCCTGCACTGGTTTTCTGCTGATACACAAACCATTTTAGCACTACAGGTTGAAGTTATCCACAAGAAATCCCATGAAGATTGCAGAAGTGTTTAAGAAGATGGGATACAGTAAACATTATGTGTGTGGGTGCCAAGAGTTAAAGTAGTGCTTCGGTTTTCAGTAAGGATCATGATGCTGACCATGGAATCAAGATGTGAAAGGCAGTTAACACAACTGAGGTGGACAAAAAACTCCAAGAATTTGCTTGAGTATGGTAGGTCCGTCTCATTTTCATCCGTAAAGCGCTGGAGAGCAGCACAGGAAACGGAGGTGTCTGGCAGCACGTATTTTCAGCTAGTTCATGGGGTTTGTACTGTGCAGCCGCAGGACAGCAAGGCAGTACCTACATTTCAGAGAGGAATGAAAAGCACAGGCCCACCAGTCTGACACCGTAGGCATTCAGAGAACTGAAATGAATTTTCAAAGAAACGCTAAAAACGTAAGTGAAAACTTCCTAACAGAAGCTCCTTATTTAGACTTTTGATAGTGAGGCACACAGGAAACATCCAGAGAGGACAACAGAGTTGTCAGAACTGTGAAACCCCTGTGCAAAGCAGAGGCAGCAACGGGCCTTCTGAAAAACGGAACATTAAGTCAGAAGGAAATCACTGACGGCATTCCTGAAGGCGCTCTGAGGGGGAAGATGCTATTTACAGCTTTCTCTGCTGACTGCAATACAAAAACCCAGAGCTGGTCTATGAAATCTGTCAAAGACAAGTTTAAGAGGTGTCTCCAGGCAAGAGGAGGATGGGTTACAGAGCAGTAAGAAATGGGTGATGTGATGGACTGGGGAAGCAGCAGTGGGACAGAACCTGCTACTACACATTTTGAGGACACGCTCCCAAGAACTGATGCAAGAGCAGCTGGAAAGAGCCCATGGTCCAGTGGATGGAAGTTGGGAAGGCGGAGCAGAGCCCTCTCCTCCCCTTCCAGGACGGTCACTACGCAGCAGTGCTTCTCCTTGTCACAGCTTCCAACGGGCAAAGCCAGTCCCGAGCCAGCATCGCGCTCAGGTTCAGCTCCCGAGGAAACTCGGATAGCAAATACCAGAAGAAAATAGAAGGGACCGTCAAACAAAACCAAAAGAGTTTTTAGTTTAGTGCCAAAATGTGTTAATATTTTTTAAAGAAAAAACTGCTTCCATGGAGGCACTGGAGAAAGGGACTCACTGGAGTTACTGCTGGGCTCAATCAAGATGAGACCCTACAAAAACTATGTGAACATCTGGGTTACAGTGACTCAGAAGTAACTTAAAATAAATGCACCCTCCTGCTTGAATGTCACAAACTGCTTCAGGCAGCTACTGAGAAGAAGGGACTTGGTCCTGTGAACTCCTGAGCTGGTAACACCTCTCCTTTTGTGTGCTGGAACAACCCAAACATTCACAGCTTCTCCCCAAGGTCGAACTTGCTCACAGACAGCAGTAACACCCAAATCGTGATTTCCTGACTTTCACCCAAGGTGGGTAGTTTCAAACAGAAGCCCATGGTTAAGATTTCTAAGCCCACCTTTATACCACAGCATGACATTTTCGGAAGAGCCTCAGGCCTGCACTGGCCTCTGATCCCATGGCAGATGTCACCTCTGAGGAGTGGCACTGACGTTCAGGACCCAGGGACAACAGCTTTGCAGTGGAAAATGTTCATGGGAGCATTTTCTTTTCTTCCCAAATCGGTACCTGCCCCTGACCACGGCTACAGGAAGGGAGAAGGAGGGAGAGAGAGCCCTGCCCATCACTTCGGCAGCTGCAATTCCTGTTGGGGGTGCCAGCTGGTTACTGCGTTACGCATTCACAGACCTGCTGGCCCTGGGCCTGTCCATCTCCGCTAACACACGGCTGTGTCTGAGCCTGCTGATGCGGCCTCTCTCCATCCCCTATGGCAGCGGCTCCCGAAGCTCACTGCCTGCTGCAGGAACACACTTGTTTGTTGGAAAGCCTCTTCCTCTTCCAAGCTCTCACATGGTGGGTGCTGGTGAACACCACCTCTGTTTTCAGCTTATCCACTGCCCTCTCATTTTGCAAACCTTTACTATTCCTTAGGCAACCTTCTCTCCTCCACACTAAAAAGCCCCAGGCGTTTCAGACTCCGCCATACGGCAGTTGCTCTCCTCGATCATTGCTGTTGCCCTTCTCCGCGCTGTGTGTAACACCATTACATCCCCCGTAAGGTAGTGATGGCGTGCAGAGGTCTCTACTGCACCAGAAATAAAACACCCACACACAGAACAGGCGGCTCTCATGCAAGGGAGGAGGAATCACTGGATCATCTCCTGCCTCATGAACCCAATCTCTCGCAGCACCCCTGCCCCAGCCCCTGTGCCCAACGCAGCCGGATCTGTGCTGGCCCTGCTGCTGAGCTGCATGCTCGGGCGCAGGCGAAGCCACAGCGCTGTTCGGCAGGAAAGCACCCTCGCCAGCTGTGGTCCACCACTCCAGATGTTCCCCCACCACACCATGAAGGGTTCCTGATGTACCCTGTCCCTCCACACAACACAGTGCTGTATCGTACACTGAGGGGACAGAAGACACTTGAAGCATCACCACGTTCCCTCACAGGTCAAAAACCTGTCCCAAAGAGCAGCCTGAGCAAAGACAAAGTACAAAATGATAAAAGAACCACAAAGCCCAGTGCGTTTGCCCAGATTAATTCCTTTCTTGGAATAACTGACAAACGTTTCAATTTCAGAGGGGCTGCACTTCTGTACAAAGCCATACACAGCTCAGTCATCGCCTACGGCTGCAGTGCCCAGGCACCACAGTAATTCGGAGTGTTTGAAATAAGCACAGTGCACAGCTGAGCGGCCTTCCCATCGCTCTGTCCCACAGCGATCTTTTCTGCGTGCTCTCTCTTCAGGAAGGTTATGGGAGCGTGAGCCTGACACGCAGCTGTGTGCCTACTGCCCAGGTACTTCCCTCCCACCTCCGCTATTCCTCATCAGCAGCATCTGCTGGACCACTGCACACAATCAGAAGTGGCTGACGGACGATTTTCCAACATGTTACAAGCTATGCTCCACTGGATTCCTTACATTTACACCAACGCTGGACAACAGATTCACACAGATGTATGTTAACATCCACACTTCGCTGAGTACATCCCAAAATTAATTTTAAATGAAATATTAAAATGAATACTGCAAATTGTGGCTTTTCTCAGAAAGCCAAGCTTACACCAAAATTCTTCTTTAGTAAGAGCTCTCCATTCAAACGGATATATTTCTTCAGTACCCATAAATGAACATATTCTCCTTTTGGATTGTATTATGCTTTAAATTAGTGTTGCATAAATACCGTTACCTTTTTTGGTGAAAAACTCCTTGGAATATTTCCCCAACATAGCGTATTTTCGAGGGATTTTTCCCAGCAGTTCAATGATCAATGCTATGTGGTCTGCATTGGAGAACATTGCCAGCAAAACAGAAACATACAACAGTTTAATCAGTACATTGCATGCACACACTAACACTGGCCCGGTACAGACAGAAATAGATTGATCCCGGTGAAAAAAACACCTGCACGCTGCTCAGTGGCTAATTTGGAAAGATGCTTTCAGCAAAACTTCTTCTTAAAACAACGTTTTGAGTATCAGTTGCAACAAACAAGTTTTGCTATGCAATTTAAAATGCACCAATAGTTATTTTTCAGGAAGTTTATGTGAAAAAAAAAGGACACAGATTCCTGTGTGTTTTGGTTCTCAAAAAAGAAATTTCCGTTGTGTGATTTCAGGAAATGCTCCTCAGCGGGAGGATGCTACAGCCAGCAACAGCAATTCCACTTCTGTCTGCATCACGGCACCTTTCAAGAAGAAGAGGTACTACCTCTGCGATTGAAGAATTCCCGAGAATATTTTCCAGATAGAGCAAAGTGCCTTGGGATATTGCCTAGCAGCTCTATGATGTGTGCTATGTGGTCTATGAGGGAGAGAAAAAAAGGATACGGGAGTGGAAGGGGCAGGGAAAGGATGGGATAAAAAAGAAGAGGAAAGAAACTGGAATTAGTAAAAACTCAGAAATAGTTTCAAATCAACAATGTTTGCAGCAAATCCATGCAGAGGTTTCCAGGATCAGCAGAGCTCTGGCATCATTAGTAGCATTTAGGAACAATGAATGATGCCCACATTACCACTGCAAAGAGCATTTACAAGCAAACAAGCATGAAAATGGACAGGTATACAGATGGAAGCAGGAGTTAATTCTGATTTTAAAAAAAATTAGTAATAGCCTAATTCAAATAAAATTACACAATGTAAACATTATTCCAGTGTCACTCTTAAAAAGAGGAAATACTATAAAGTTCAACTCTGTCGTTTCTTTTCTAAACTAAGATGTTGTTATTCTCAATCAGGTTTCCACACATATGCAATCTTACAAGAAGGGCAGTTTAAATCCTTCAGGCAGTTGTTAAGTAGATGAGTATCTGCAGAAGGGAGTTTTTGCCCACCCATTGCTAGTGATGGAACTTAAAACTAAAAAGAAAAAAATCGTATTTATATTCTGAAAACAATGTGTATGAACAGTTCACTCAAATACAAAACTTAACCCCACTGTAAGCTCACTGGAAATTTAAGAACAAGAGTGTGAAAACACAGAGAAACTCACAATATCTTAAAAGATTCATACCTTCATCCCTGGAATAGTCTTCACCAGAGTGTGGTTCAAACAAATAATCTCCAGTTGCTAGCTCAAAAGCCTGTAACATAACAGACATATTATGGGTTTTACAGAAATATTGTTTTGAATCTTAAGATGTCAGCAAAACACCACAACCACCTCAGAACCAAGAGGGAATTAACATTCACCGCTAATCAAAGGCCTACAACTGGATTCGAGGCTGAAGAGAGGCCACACTTACCTGGGGCCCACCACCCCTGCAGTGCAACAGCAGCGCCAACCCAGGCACTGAGAGAGCCCCGCATTTGGCCCCAGCACCCCCTCACTATGAGAGCTCTGGCAATGGGCAGCACGCCTGGACCCCCACTGCTCCCGCCTCCTCAGCCAGGAGGAACGAAGGAGATGGATGAGTGGGGTTCTTCCTCAGCAACCCCGGGGCTCTACTGGCTGACCAGGGTTATTTCATCAGACCAGGGAGTATTTCAGCTGACCAGGGTTATTTCATCAGACCAGGGAGTATTTCAGCTGACCAGGGAGTATTTCGGTCATGAGAAGTTCAGCACCAGACCCGGGTGGCAGGAGGCAGCGATCAGCTGCGTGGGGGTGTGAAGGGCGCACCCCAGAGTAAGCCTGCACTAAACATGTTTTCACATACTCATGTGTTGTCTGTTGATCACGCTAAATATGCGTAAGTTAATGAAGCTGAGAGAGAGGCATTTCTAAATATATAATAAAGAGCTGCACTCGTATCTGAAGGCTAATGATCTGTCAGGGATTGCATGCTGGGGACTGAAATGAAAACTCAATCAGAAAGGAAATCCATTTAAAACTATAATTAATCACTTGAAATTAGCAAAGAGGGTAAGGTCCCTTGATGACTCTAAGAACAGAATCTCGAATAGTTTTTAAAAAGGTATTTTTGTTGAATCAGAAGTCAAAGTAAATACTGCAACCATGGGGCAAAATACTGAGACTGACACTGCTGAGGGAACCCAGAGCAGACACCACGGTGACCGATCCCCCAGGCCATCGCAGTGCCTCGGTGGGATGCAAACCCTACGGTGGTCAGGACAAAACTCAGTTTCTCTTCATGAGCGTAACGCACGCTAAAAGCCACAAAGTGCTGAAATGACTATGAGGGCCCATACTTGCATACAAGCATGGATTCATCTAGCCCAATTTGTTCAATTATTCTCTTTCCGCTCCGGATCACCGGTTACCCAAGCAGCCACGGGAATCTAATTCTTTCCAGGTGGTTTAAACATCAAACAATTTTCCATCTCCAAGACCAGGGAAAACATCCGATCCAGAAAATCATTCCAAAAATCAGGCAGAACTCCCTGGCACAGCTCCATCAGAACATTTACTACAAAGTATTTGTCTCCTGAAAATATACACTCTTCTGTGCCAATTCTTAATCGGGAGTTGTTAAATCACCTGTAAATTTAGCCTGTTTATGGGCACTTGGCTTTTTCAAGCTGCGAACTGCAGTGCCATCCAAGTGGGCGATGGCCAAAATAATTCATTGCAATCACACACAGCAGCCAAGAAAGCAAGAATGCCCCTTGTTGACATTTCTGTTGATCCTACAAATGGACCTTTAATTTCTAAAGTCACTGTTGCTAATAAACAGTCATTCACTTTTTCTCTTTTTCTGCTCTCAAGATTGAGCTTTCATTTTACAGCTTAAAAAAATCTGAAGGACTTAATAAACTACCACATACTTATACTGAAATATTTTTAGAGCAGCCAAAAGAGATCACTACTAGAGACGTCTACGCACAACATGGAGAATATTGTTATTTTCTTGAGATGAGACTGAAAACCTCCAAATGTCCCCTCTGTACCTCATATACATATACATATATATATTCATATATTCATTGGAAGAGCTGGACCAGCTTTCCTAGGAGGACACATGTTGATGGGGCTGATTTCTGAGGACACTGAGAACTCATCACTATTTAACACAGATTTCTGGTAAACAACAGAAATGCAGCTGAATTTAGCCCCAAAGGGAGACTCCAAAAGAATACAGCTTCTGTCCGAAAAAATGAAGTCTTAATACCTCAATGTCTGCGTGCGACTAAAAAGATTAAACTGGAAAAACTGCTCATAGAGGAAAGAATACACTGAATTCTAGACCTGTTTGTAAGCAGTAGGAGCTGCAAGCTCTCCTAGATTTGCGATATTCATACCACCCTTACACTGAAGAGAACTAAAGCTTTTCAAAAATGATGCTGCTGCTCCTCTTCCCTTTTTGTATGGCTTTGACTCCATGCCCAGCACGGGCTGGAGCCACAGCGTCTCACACATTTGATTTCCTGACTCTCCTTAAAAGACCGCACCGAGAGTGAAGAAACATCTGACTCAGATGCACACAGGGGCAGCCCAGAGACAGCCTTGCCTTTTGGGTGCCGCGGTAAGTATCTGTAATAACACTGCTTAGCAGTCATGCAGCTCAATGTCTCACAGGTTCAGCTGTAGCAACCTGGCGATAGGTTCCTAGGTATTTGTAGAATGGACCGGCTGCATAGCATAAATGAAATTAATTTGGTCTCATTTGAAAAAGAATAAATCCTTGACTTAGCTTTTTTACCATAACGTGAAAGAATCGGCATTAAAAATGCATTAATAAGCAAGCAAAGAGCCATAAGAAGGACACCACCACCTCTGGATTGTATCAGTCAGAGTTCTGGTCTTCACACTGATGTCCAAAGGTGTGGTGCACCCAAAAGCACATGCAGTCCCATTACCAAGGCTGGCAACAGAAGCAGAGCTCTGCTGCTGGTACTCAGCAACTGGAAACTACAGCTGTGGTGATGCACTGCTGCTATGGCCTTTCTGAGCGCTTCTCAGTACTTACGGACGCCGCGTAACTGCAGGTACATAAAACCACCCAGTCTCAATTCGCAAGTCACTCTGATACCCTGTGATAAAATCAGGAGGTGGAGACCCTGACAGACAGCAAATTAAGACCAGGGAGGACCTGGTCACAGGTGCCGAGCAGCGGATGCAGGAGGAGAGGCTGGGGAGTCTGCGTTTGTTCCTCTGTAAACGGAGGAATTTAATTGCTCCTCTCCACTACCTGAAAAGCTGGTTAACAGAGAAGACCAAGAGACAGACTTCTCAATGAAAGGACATCAGAGAACAAACACAGGCAGCGAGATGGGAAATTCCAACCAGAAACAAGGAAAAAAATTCTTCAGCGAGACTGGCTGAGCGCTGGGACAGGCTACTCAGAAAGGCTGTGGAAATCTGGCAGATACGTGCACCTCAACTGGATGAGGCTCTGAGTGACCTCATCTAACCTTGGTGTTAACCCTGGTTCAAGCAGGAGGTAGATTCCTTTCAACCTAAATTTTACTATTATTTATATGATGCTACAAATACAGATTAATCTTATTTACCTACTCTCACTTTGAAAGTATTCATTTATAAAAACCAGTTTCTTGACAGAAACTCCAACTTTGAATTACTGTGATCTTTTTTACTTAATGTTGACATTTACCTCAACAGAAATCAGCATTTCAATTTTTATATGGAGATAAGAAATGAGATACAACACACTCAACATATGGCACAAAAGCCCAAGGCAATCATCCATCCTTACTGACTGTGCTGGCAACCGCTACTGATCGCTTTCCTAAGGTTATCACAGAAAACCAGCCCAGACTGCTTTTCTCATCTGCAGATGGAGAACCTTTCACAGAAATGACCACACTGCTGCTTTTGTAGGCTCTGGAGAGGCTATGATTCCTTTCTTGCCACACAATCGTATATGAACCCACCACAATACTCCAGTGTTGGCATCACTATCGTATATTATGGATTCATGTCTAATCACACAATTGGAAATAGCTCCATTTTCTGTGTGACAGCTGTGTACTCAATCTGGTGATTGGAAATGGATGCATGCCTAGGGAAAGCTGTCTGGGAGAGGACTGGAAGAACAATTCATTTGGACTGCACCAGCTTCCCCAGATTCCTCTTATGAAGCCCCAGCTGAAAAAGGACAACAAGCTATAGGCCAGAATTATTACTTTGACAGATGAGATCAGGCTCTTGGCCAGTTTCTCTGTCCCAGCTGAAATGAAGAGCTGTGAATGAGAAGACTGTAACTGCTTATAAAATAGGCTTAGTTTTAGGAACACTGTTCCACAGGTAAGTGGGAGCATGGAGAAAAGAGCAAAAAGCTTTTTGATATACGCACACCAGCTCAGTTTGTTCTTCTATGGACATCTCCCTCTGAAAAGCCAGGCAACAGAAAGAATATAAAAGGCATTTTGCATGGTTAGTGCTTGGTAAGAAAGGCCAGATATACAAAACACAGACATGCACGAGATGCTTGAAAAGCAAACAGGATTCTATTATTTGCTGCACTCCAGTCTCAGAATCATGCACATGCTGAGTGGTTGCTTTGCAAAGTCAGTTTCTTTGGAAAATAATTTTCTTTTGAATGTCTCAGGTTGTCCACCCACCACACTCAAAAAGGGTGTACAGTGATTAATAACAGCATTTTGTACTGTATCTGCCTACTGAAAAATATGTGCATAGCGACTTGAAGTTTTCTCTCACCCAGACTTTTGGTTTTTCATTTTGCCTCAAAATAATGCTTCTTTGCAGACTGAGGCTTGTCATCACACCTTCAGTATGTGCCACTCGCACGTACAAGCATGATGATACTCATGATCCCATGGAGACATGGTAATTTATTCCCAGCTCACAACACAGGAAGAGTAAGTGAGGACAGTTACCTCTCCACCCCACATTAGAGGACATTATGCAAAGAAATAAGCTGGGGGCTGAACTACAAGCACTCACACATAGGTTTAATTTTAACATCATAAGTTACTATATTCTTGCTAATTCTTCATTCTGTCCCTCCAAGTTCTCTCACATGAATAAAAATGCTCATAATTAAAAACACCCCTGTAAGCTTGCTTGCCTTGTAATAGCATCTTCCTCAGTTTGAAAGCTGTTTGTCTGCTTTTCCTCTCACCCCTGTAGTAATTTCTTTCATCATTTGTATTCTCTTTGGGTAGGTAATCACAATTTTCTCCTTCTCTGACTTCCTGC